AAACAACCTCTGGCGAAGCGGATGGCACAACACAGAAGAGCTACCTCGTCAGGCCAGGACTCTGCAGTCTATTTACACCTACAGGCCAGTGGACACTCTTTCAGTGATGAGGATGTACATCACGCTGGTTTGAGTGCGGAATCAAGGAGGCCATTTATGTGAAAAGGGAAAGACCATCTCTGAATCAAGGAGGTCGGGTACATCTTTTGCCATCTTACAATGCTGTGATTGCAGCCATTCCCCAACTCTTGGTGAATGGTACTCATACCCATTGATCAGTGGGCTTTGATCAGTGGGTTTTGGTCAGTGGTTGTTGATCAATGGTCATGAGAATTTGTATAATTAAGATTAAGGAACTGACCTCCCAGCCCATTGTTCGTTCACTGGGATAGTTTCAGTCATTATGCAAATGTACTGTTTATAAGATGAAACCTGCAGTCAGCTGAGACTGAAGAAGTCACTTGGATGAGTGACAAAACTTCTTTCACAAAACGCTACGTCCAAATGAACAGAATCAACTACTGGAGATTTACTGGCTGCAATTAAATGGAATCAGCAGTCAGAATACCATGTTAAATGTGTATATTTAGAGTATAAATATAACCACACAAGCTTACCACAACTGCTGATGTTCATATCTTGAAGCAATATTCTCCTGTAGCTGTCAGCACAGTATAACTGCTGGCTGCTAAGACCTGCCTCTCCTCTCTGTTGCCATAGCTGCAGCCAGCGAATCTCACAGCCGCAGGTGAACACCACATCCTCCAAATGCCTGAAAAGAGAAGAGCACTGACAGCATTAGCAATGCTCTAAATCTCATACTCACCTTTAGACTCACTGCCAGCGGAACAAGAACGTTTGTCATTTTCAAAACTTTTTAAGAAGGTTCTATAGAACTAGCATCTAACCAAGAAGTGCAGTGTTCCATGAGGTGACTTGCTCCCCAGCGGGCCTAAGCCGAACACACTCCAGTCTGGAAGTCCTGGAATCCATGGCAACAAAGACTGGTGTAACAGTGAACATTAATGGGTATATTTGGGTCTATTTCCTTTGAACTGTGCATTTTCAGGCTGATGAAATGAGTCAGCCAAGTAATTATATTAAAATAAATGAGTCAGCTTGTCTTTAAGATATTTTTAGAAACTTCTGGCATAAATTTAGAGAAAGACAGCCTTACTGGAATCTTACCAACATCAGCACAAATCAGCTAGCTGGTATATAATGATGTGCTACGTGATCGCTAGTGAACGCCAACTTTTTTCTACTTGATGAAAGTTAATGTGAAGGTTCCCGATGGTTAGGGACAAATGCAATCGCATGGCAGGACGCTGTAAACGGACTAAACTTCAGTCAGGAGAACAACTGAGATAATCCATCCACAATACGAGGTTAGTCAAAATATACTATACATGGGAATAGAGCAGCTGCCAGACAATTCAACATTAATGAATCAATGGTATGGAAGTGGAGGAAGCAAGAAGAATGAGTTGAGTAAAGTTTGACTTATCTGACTGTTTTGTTTTGCTTAATGCGCCTTATAATCCTGTGTGCCTTATGGTCCGAAAAATACGGTATTTAAAAACCTTTTGTTACCCAATCTTTCCTCCATTCATTGGCATAGGACACAGGTGTCGAACTCCAGGCCTTGAGGGCCCGTGTCCTGCAGGTTTTAGATGTGTTCTTGATCCTACACAGCCAATTTAAATGGCTACATTGCCTCCTCAACATATCTTAAAGTTCTTGAGAGGCCTGGTAATGAACTCGTCATTTGATTCAGGTGTGTTGACCCAGCGGGATATCTAAAACCTGCAGGACACCGACCCTCGAGGCCTGGAGTTCGACACCCCTGGCATAGGATATATTTTCATTGCTCTACAGATGAAACCCAACTTTATTAGAAACCAGATACTTACTCCGGATGGCATTACCTTGGCCCAGTAACTCTGTGAGTAATCATGGAATACTTTTTGACCAGGATATGTCCTTCAATGCACATATTAAAGAAATTTGTAGGACTACTTTCTTCTATTTGCGTAATATCTCTAAAATTAGAAATATCATGTTTCAAAAGGATGCTGAAAAATACGAATTAGAATTAGAATTCAACTTTATTGTCATTGCACAGGTACAAGGCAACGAAATGCAGTTTGCATCCATCCAGAAGTGCTTTTGCCATAATATAGATATATTAGAATATATATTAGCAATAATATAGATATGTGAGTATATTACAGAAATGGGTCTATTATGGTATGTTATAATGTACACGGTATGAAGTATGTTATGAATATGCTATAACTATAAGTATGTACAGGCTGTAGTGAGTACAAGCTATGTACAGGCTATGAACAGGATATAAATATGAAAAACTATACAGAATATGAAATTAAAAAAAACTATACAGAAATCTGAGATATACAGTTATACAGAAATGTGAACTATGCAGGTTATAAACAGTTGTAGGATTAAAAATTATCGTATGTACAGAATGATTATTTACACAGAACTATACAGTAGTGCAGTTAAGATAAGTGAGATATGTGGATAATTTCTACAGAGGCTATATAAAGTGCTAGTGGTTGTGAGTGGTGGTTCAGTCTATGTTATTATTGTGTGTATGAGGGTACAGTTGTCCATTGTGTGTGTAGGTGGTGGTGGTGTGTGTATGTCCAGTCCATGTGTTAACATGGGTCAGATGTCAGGAGGCAGAGTTCAGGAGTCTGACAGCTGTGGGGAAAACTAGTTCATGCATTTATTACTTCTAGGCTGGGCTACTGTAATTCATTATTATCAGGTTTTTCTTGAAGCTCCTTCACTTGAAATCACTTGAAAAATTTGTATTCAAAATGCTCGGAAATATTTTGCCCTTCAGTTTTCAGGCTGTTCTTTTGTGGATCCAGCTCCCAGTTTAGACGTGGGAGGGAGACACATTCTCAACTTTTAAGATTAGGTTTAAATCGTTCCTTTTTGCTAAACCATATAGGTAGGGCTGGATCAGGTGACTCTGAATCCTCCCAGGCTTCTTGGGTTTTCTCATAATGCACTGGGCGCTTCTTCTTTACTTGCCTCTTTCTACTCTTAGTTATTATTAATTTCTGTCTCTCTTCCAGAGTGCGTCTTTTGCATCAGATGTCTGCACCTTCTGCCAGAGGTTTTTTTTTTTTAAATCTGACGGGGAATTTTTTCCTTCCCACTTTTGCCAAGTGCTTGTTAATTGTTTTGGTTTTCTATTATTGTAGGGTTTTTATCTTAAAAAGCACCTTCAGGCAACTGAGTGTTGTGTTTTTGCGCTATATAAAATTGAATTAAATGTGCTATTAAATAATAAATACACAGCTGCATTTTTTACAAGCACTACAAAACAGATGGGGAGATGTGTCCGGTTTGATGCTCAAAAGCTACTTATTTGGTGCCAGTTCTTTACAAAATGGTATATTTATATCAATAATTGTGCATCATTGTCAAATCTTTTGATCACTAGTTATCATTATTGTGTGAAAACACTTCTATATTACACTTAAAAGAAATGGAGAATGTTAAAAAGGAAACTATCCATACATTATTTGTTTATGGGAATAAACATTTAATACATTTGTACTAACCTCTGCTTTAAACCAACATCACCAATGATGATCCTCTACACCATATTTGGGTCAGTTTCTTTTTTAAAATCTTTTGGATTTTTTCAACATTGGGTTGTGCAGCATGACCTTATCCCCCAGAGTGAGGATGTCAGTGTTCTCTTCTAATGTCATGTTCTAAGGTGTCTGAGGGAGAACCTTCAGAGGAAATGATGTATGGCATCATCTCATGCCTATCTCAAAGCACACTGTAAAAAACACTGTACAAAAACTATTTTTTGTTCATCGCTTACCAAATTTGCCATGCTGAAACTTTATAGATAAGAATACAGATAAGAGAGAAGCAAATAGGGAGAGATAATATATTGGGCCATTCTCACAAAGCCTCAAACATAAGATTGGCCAAATCTTATATTCCTATTATTATAATGTAATATTTATTTTACTGGATGCAGTATTGCACCATCTAGAGATTTTTTCTTTAGATGCACTTGTGGTATCAATTTGAAGCTCCTACATTGCATTCTCCAGTTATCATATTCAGAAATTAGGTGTCTACACCACTGATGGGGTGATGACACCATCAGTCTTTTATGACGGAGGGGTAAAAAGTTGGCACTATTGAAAATACTGCTTGCCATGGCAAGCAGACAAAATGCATGATATGTATCAATTCTCTCCAAAACAAATAAACCTTCTGAAAATATTGCAGACAAGTTCTGGATACACTACTATAAACTTAAACGCAAAAAGAAAAAAACAAAAAAACTGAAAATGATTCGGATAATAAAATGAGAGAGTCAAAAATCAAAAGGAGGATCAACCACTGAGAAGAATGAAAATGTAATAAAACATGGCCTTTGTATCATCTGCAAAGTTAAAGTCTAAGTTGCTGGTGTCTCAGGATCAGACAAAGGCTACGTTCACACTGCAGGTGAAAGCGCATCAAATCCGACATTTTTGACCCTATGCGACCCATTTCCGATCATGGTATGACAGTTGACAGTTGACAGTATGAACAGCACAAATCCGATATTTTCAAATCCGACCTGGGTCACTTTCGTATGTGGTACTGAATCTGATACATATCTGATGTTTTAGAAAGCGACTGCTGTTTGAATGGTCATGTCGCATTAAAGCTGTCCTTTATGTTACTGACACAAGACAGACGCCAATTATCAGAGCCGGAGAAGACAAATGAGAAAGCATGGCAGCGGAAACTGGAGACGGAGCAAGTCAATGGACAGAAACTGAGGTTTTGGACTTGATTAACATATGGGGAGACAACTCTATTCAAGCTAAACGACTCCGTGTCCATATATACCTCTGAGGAAGCAACCACTGCTCCAAACAAGGCCATTGTTAAAGCACAGATTTTTTTCTCAGTGTCCTTCTTTCTCTATTTAATTTGTCAAAATTCTGTCGGTTAAAACACCTACTAGCTCTGTAGCCGCCATTTTTACTTCTGTAAACAGAGCGCGTTGTGTGTGACGTCTTCTTTTGCGCATGTGGGTCACTTTGAGGGCCGTGAACGTTCACACTAGCGCGCGTTTGCTGTCACATTTTATTTGTAGTGTGAACAACCAGACAAAAAAAATCGGATTTGATCAAAAAACCGAAATTGAGCATTAAGACCTGCAGTGTGAACGTAGCCTAACGTAGCTCATGACTGGTGAGCCACAACTGAACAGTCTGATGACCCTCCCTGTGATTTCCTCTGACTCACAGCTTTTCTAAAGCTTATGTTGCTTACAGTAAAAGTAACAGCCATGCTGTTAGTACTTACTTTGCACTTAGTTGGTCTCTGCCTTCTTTTGTCCATTTCAATCTATCAAAGAAGTTGTTGAGTTCCTCGGCTAGTGAGTTACTATTACCATTGACATGATGATGGATGCCCTATCCTATATGCCTCAGGTATTCATCTCCAAAAACTCTTTTCATGAATCTTTAGCCTCTAGACTACTGTTGCACCCTGATGACTCTCTTCAGCTTGGACTTGGCAGAACCAGAGTTTAGCATTTCCTGACATGATGAATGTTTTGCATTCTTTCAAACAGCAAGTTGACATCTATGGCCATGCATTGCTTGTTGTTTGGTAACCATTGGAGAGAATTATCAGTTGTGACAGTATTCACCTAGTTCTTTACATAAAACAGGGCAGTAATTGTGTTTTTACTATTTCTATCACTCATGTTTTCACCTTTCCAGCTTGTTGTCTTTGAAGCAACTGTTGTTCGACACACACACACACACAATGTGTAGTACGTCTTGTTATTGTAATTTGGTGGAATGTACATAGCCACATCAACGACAGCTGTGAACATACTGCTGAAAAATCTGGCATGGGTGTAAATGTAAATACTACACAGTGCTGGTCTGTGGAGAACCTTCTTTAGCCTGGTTTGTCTTCAAGCTCAGGAACCTCACTTCTACTTTCTTTCTCTCCACCGCCTCCTACAACAGCACAATAAGGTAATCCATGGAACTCATGTCCCACATAGATTTTCCTTTGGGATTAATTTTTGTTGAACGTTCGCAGAAAAATCTTTCACACAACAAGATATGCCACTCTTCAGCAGTTCATCTCAGTGAAATTCTGGGTTTATGAGTGAAAAACCAAGCAAAGAACTGTGCCGAGCAGAGCAAAGCAACTGGGTCTCTGTGTACCACCATCTGTGTACCCCTTATGAATAAACTAATAACTAAACAATGTCACTGAGATTCAAACTCATCCAAGACCTCCCTGCATCTTTGTATACACAGTAAATTATAGTGCATTGTTAGTATATCACCCTGTGATTGGGACATCACAACAATTTGCCTCATTAAGTAAATCTGACTATCATATAAAAACTTAAATTCCTCTTATTTTCCTTTATTAATCTGCAGTGTAACTCATTTCCTTCTCTATGTTCAGCATTTCTATGACTGCAGAAAAATTTCCTCCATCCATCAGTTATCCCAGCTAACCTGAAGTAAAAATTATGGTTATCCTAAAGACTGCAATACAACAAAGTACATTACTAATGAAAACTGATTATACAGAAACTCAAGCACATTTTTATCAGTTAATATAGATCATAATCTCGAGGTTATATAGCATTCTGTCCTTCATCCAGCAACTACTCAAGAAGTAGTTTTTATTCCAGCATTACAATGTTCAGAGTTCAGCAGGCCATTTAACAAAAAACAAACAAACAAAAAGAAAACCTCTAAATTTATCATCAGGTTATGGCATGAAATGGAAAATGCAGCTATAACGAACATGATCGTCTCCACTTTGTTTATTATGCTGATGGTTTTAATGAATGTTTAGATAGCAAGTTAAAAGGAAGAATTCTTACTTTGAGTTATCGATTATGTTACTAGTTAGCGAACAAACTAATGTAAGTCTATTAGCCACAACCAACCAACCACATGACGTCATGTTGTGGCGTTGTACTGACAGAAGATGGCGCTATGCATGTTTTTCAAACTTGAACTTCGGGCACTGATTTCTTAAATCCAGCGTCACAGACACTGTTCATTTTTGAGAGCAGAGCTTAAGGGTGTATATTAGCCTGTATGTGTGGAGCATTTCATGTTCCCTTTAAGGTTGGTAGTTTGATCCCTAGCTGCTCCAGTCTCCATTCTGCATGCCAAATATCCTTGGGCAATGTTTGAATGCATGAATGTTAGCTAGAAAGCACTTAGGTGTAGATAAAATTGCTTGTATGAATGTTTGTAAATGGGTGAATGAAGTGTGTTGTTTAAAGTGCTTTGAGTCCAGAGTAGAAAAGATGCCACTGAGGTGCCATTTCAGGACATAGCACAATTCACTGATCATATTAACTCGGTTGAAAAAGACATCAACCCATTTCCTTGCAGATGTATTCAGGTCTACTGTGTGTCAGCAGCAATGAACTAAGAAAAAGACATGGGTCTACTTACAGTTCCAAAAGCGGCAGATGTTCAAAGATCTGCCAGGACAATGTGGTCAACATGGGGTTCTTGGACAGGTTTCTAAGAAAGAGAACGAGAAAGTAACAGAGAGTGTCAGAAACCTCACTTCAACGTGACAATAAAAGCTCATGGATGTTAGGTTTTCTACATGATGTTTTGTAATGAGTGCAAAACACGAGGGAAAAGTGAAATTCATAAAAGAGCAGAATTCCACATAGGGTGTTTAGTCAGTTTAAATCGACTCTGGTTCATTTTCCCACTTAATGAAAGTTGTTTGAGCAGATGTGAACAGTAATGGTGTTTCTGACCACTGGTATACCACAACTGTACCCTTTCAACAGCTACCAAAAATTTAAGGACGTAGCTTGTTTGAACCTTATGGGATATTTATATAAAGATCCTCCAGCCTCAAACTGTATTACCCTTCAAGGACCTGCAGTTCAAAAAAGCGCCCCTCCGACAGCCAAACCCATCTGTTCTGTGATTCGTTAATTTAATAGTTAAATTTGTGATTGACATGACATTGACCAATCAACTGAAAGGAAGAAAAATAGGGTCAAAATCCGTACTTAAGTTGAAACCTGAGTGCAGCGTTTCACGCGTATTTTTTGGCTATGTCCACACACAAATCTTTTTTACGCACACACAAATTCTTTTTACACATATAAATCCTGATTTACAAGTACAAAACTGATTCACAAGTACAAAATATTTATGACCACAATTTGAGCCCATAGCACTCCCTCACAACTAGAGGAGTAAGCCCAGGTTTCTCTTCAGTGCTGCAAAGAGGCTGACAAGTAATCAGAGCTCTGTTTAGCTGTTTATTCCTTTAACTTGAAATAGTAAGGACTTCACAAATTTCTTCACAATTAAAATTTTAACCATTATAGAGAAAATAACCAGCCATTCCTCAGATATATCATTAGGTACAACCACTTTTAAAATAAAGAACTGCTGATATTTACTTGTATTGTCTTTCCTCAGTGATTTTTCAATCACTTCAATTACTTCCTCCAAACCATTAACATATCTACTTGACTCCAGATCCTACCATTAATTCATTCTTTAATCTGAAATATGATCAATCTTTATAGAGATCTGTATCACATGCTTTTAAGGTTGCAATAATTACACCACTTTTTTAAAAAGCAAAGGCTTTTTAAATTAACTGATCATCTACAAAAGAGCAGTTTATTCAAAGAGTTACAGTCAGCATTTAGAGTTTACCACAGCTGCATGTTCTCCTTGCTGGCTGTCTTCTTATGGCTTCTTATCTTCTTATGGCTGAGTGTGTGAAGAGGACTCTCCATTTACGTGAACAAACCAAGGATAATTATGGAGTTCCACAGGGTTCTGTGCTAGGACTAGTTCTATTTACATTATACATGCTTCCCTTACGCAGTATCATTAAAAGTTATAACATTTTCACTGCTGTGCAGATGACACATAGCTTTATCTATCCATGAAGCCAGATAACACACACCAATTAGTTAAACTGCAGGAATGTCTTGAAGACATAAAGACACAGATGACCTCTAATTTTCTGCTTCTGGCTGTCCCTCCCCAACCCTGGTTCTACAGGAGGTTTTTTCTTATTAAAATGTAGTTTTTCCTTCCCTCTGTCACCAAAGCACTTGCTCAAAGGGGGGTATATGACTTTTGGGGTTCTGTCTGTTTTCTTTGTATTATTGTAGTGTCTTAACCTTAAAATATAAAGTGCCTTGAAGCAACTGTTGTTATGACTCGCTGCTATATAAATAAAATTGAACTCAGTTGAAAACAAATACTAGTGAGCTTATGGTCAATGGACTAATTGATTACTTGTCCTGACCTCCTTTGATAGAACACAGCACAGGTATTTAAATAATCACCCTGCAGTGGTTTGAATCTGATTTATCTGCTTCCATAAGAAAACTGTGAAAACAACAACAACAACACACACACACACACGCACACACACACACACACACTTAAATCAGATGTTCTGCAGCATGTTCTTGCTTTCATCTGAACTTTTGTATAGTGATAGGATTAAAGCAGCTGATAGTGCTTTGTCCTTTTCAGCTGAGAAATTAGAGGGTGGAAGAAAACGCAGAGAAGGAAAAAAACAGAAAGACGAACAAAAAATTGAAGGAGAGGAAGAAAAATTAGTAGAAAAGAGAAGCTGGCGGTTTGAAAAAGAGACTACCACTCAAATCACAAGCAGTGATGAAGAATATGTAGCCCACTGAATGCACACTACTGGTCAAAAGTTTTAGAACACCCCAATTTTTCCAGTTTTTAATTGAAATTTATACAGTTTAACATTTCATTACACTCTGAAATGAAAGCATAGTACAATTAAGCAATTTGAGCTAAAAAGAGAAATTGTGGAATAAATTTATAGACCCAAATGTATTCTAAACCACCTTTGGCAGATTTAACAGCTGCACACACCCGTGGCATTCTTTCTACAATAGAAATAAATATTCAATATTAACATTAATAAAACTATTAATAATAACAAATATTCTTAAGAAATGTCTTCCCATATCTTTTGCAGAAATCCCCATAATTGTGTGGCACTTGTAGGTTGCTTTGCTTTCACTCTTCTGTCCAGTTCATCCCAAACCAGTTTGATGGGGTTTAAGTCTGGAGACTGTGCTGACCACTCCATGTTTTCAACTGACTGTCTTGTTCTTTTTTGTTCATAAGGTAGTTCTGGCATAGCTTGGACTTATGTTTTGGGTCATCATCTTGCTGTAGGATGACCCCTGATCAATTAGGTGCATATCAGAGGATATTGCATGGCGCTGCAGAATGCTGTGGTAGCTGTTTTGGTTCAGGGATCCTCTCCAGGGCTCGCAAAATTTCAAAATCCCTGGTAGCCCTTCGGGCAGGGACTCTTCAGTTTTTGGTAGCCCAAAATAAATTTAAGTAGCCCGAATAAAAAAGAGAACAATTTTTTGATTGATGTTTTGTTTCCTGTTTTGTTTCCGTTACAATATTATACATTAAAGTATAATATTTTATACGTCGGGCTAGCGATTTTGCGAGCCCTGCTCTCACTCTGTACAAGTCAACGACCCTGGATCCAGCAAAACAGCTCCAGAACGTCACACTTCCTCCTCCATGTTGGACAGTTGATGCCACACACTGTGGAACCATCCTTTCGCCTACTCTACGGTGTAAAAAGATCCTGCGTGATGAACCAAAGACTTGAGTAGTCCAATGATGGTGTTTCATGGCCCAGAACAGCCTCTTTGTCTTATTCTGACATCTTAGCAATGGCTTTCTTGCTGCAACTCATCCTGTCAAACCTGCAGCTCAAAGTCTTCTCTTGACAGTTGACAATGAAACTTGCTTAATACGACCTCTATTAAGCTGTGCTTGAAGCTGTTGTGCTTTAAGCCACCTATCACGCAAGCTGTTAACTCTCAAAAACTCACCCTCTGATTCAGTTTCTGAGTTACTTTTGATGGTGAAGGAAACTGGACTCAATGACACCTTGACTTTCTTTGCAATTTCTCTGTAGGAAAGACCTGCATTTATAAGTGTTATGATGGTCTGTCTCTCTTTCATTGTTAATTGCCTTTTTCTTGCCATTTTTGTAGCAACACAGAGAACTATTGTTCTGCAGTACAATAATGTTCAATTGATACTAATGAGGGTATGCTACCACAGTGTGTTCCAACATAAACCCTTATGCAGACAGAGGGGGTGGTAAGTAATCCTGAAAAGTTGGAACACCTGTAGGAATTAGTAGCACCAGCTTTCAAGACTTGATAAACCTTCATAGCTGCAGAACAGCTTTACATTGTTGACCCATTTTGTGTTCGTTGAAAAAAGCCTTTTTGTATAATTCTGAAATGTAGATTATTTTTCAGTTTTAGGTAACCTTAGCTTTTTTCTTTTTTTTCCAATCTCTGGCAGTTCACCACTTACATTTGTACAATTTCAAGCTATTCATTGGACTTGAATTGCAACAAAATGCTGGAAAACTTGGGATGCTCTAAAACCTTTGACTGGTAGTGTATTTACTGCAAACCTGCTGTTGAGGACTGCGCTTGAATATTCCCAGTACATTTATCTGACAACTGTAGCTTTTAGCTAATTGTAATCACCCAATATAGAAAAGAAATATAATTCTCTATCTTCTCCAGCAAAGTTCTAGGTGCAGCAAAACTTTTCATTTCAGATTCTGAGTAAATGAAGTGCACATGACAATTAGACTTCTTAAATGGGATTCAGTTTTAAGTGTCATCAACTTGTCCATTTCCTGCTACAACAAACCAAAATGCCCACTGCTCACAAACAATAAACTCTGTTTTTCTCTTCTGTGGTCACAAATTCTTTGATTTGGTTCTATTTGTTCCTCTCCTCTTCTTTTAGCTGGTGATGTAAGAGTGTTTATTATTCATAGCTGCTGAGATCCAATACCTCATCAGTATTCCACTCAGGATTGGGAGAGTAAAAGCATGCAAGAAATATAAAATACATATTTTTTTATGTAATTTCTGATGAGTCTTTAATGCTGTTTGACAAACAGCATTAAAGAGCCTAAATGTGATCTTTGGATGTATTTTGCTGTACCCAGTGATTCACAATAGATGTAAAAATAGAAAGAAAGTGATGATAAAAATCCAGGTCTCATTTTATAAAACCCTCCTTATTCCTGTCAGGCTTTCTCTATACAAACCAGTAATCACAGATCTTACTGGCAGCATTTCCTGCTTTAAAATAATTTAGAGCATAAAAATTAAATGAAATTAGAAAAAAAAATTATTTCACTCACAGTACTGCACACACTACCACAGTGTCAAAATCACTACAACTGATCATATAAGACTAATATGTGAATGCTGACCTCAGCCCAGCAGTCTGACCCTGAACTTTAACAAATAACAAGGTGTTAAACAGTCTGTCTTTCTAACTGTTCATGTTTCTAAAGTAGAATCGCTGTGGCTGTCAGCTTTGTGTTCATGCGTAAATACTAAGAGAAAGAGTATGTGTCTTCATAGTATAAGGATTTGTGTTGGTATGTGAGACTATAGTCTGTAGGTTTATATTATAAAATAGTAAATATGTCTCAGGTCATTTTACGAAGCAACAAGAAAGTAATGTAATATGTAACAAATTACTTTCTTTGGAGAGTAATAAGTACTGTAACGAGTAATGTGCAATAGATTATTTTTTTGAGTAATGACCTTAACACTGATCACCACAAAGATGGAAAATGCCTCCGACATGCACAAACATTTGTCCACACAGCATGCAATTCCTTGGCGAAACCAAACAGCCACTCCTTAAACCATCTGATTTTAGAACTGAAGCAGCCTCTTGGATGAGAGGTGAAACATCTTCACAAAACTTAAAAAAGTCCAGTTGCTTTCTTTTCAAGCTCCTGAGACATAAATAAGGACAGCTGTAATATTAATGTATCTACATGTGATCTACATCTGATGGGAAATTTATGGGTAGTGGAATCAGTGCAACACTCCCTATACTCATGGATCCATGGATGACTGCATATATTACAGTAATGCATATCTGTAGTGACTGTAGTGAAATCTTATCTGAGTACAATACTAAACACAAGCACTGGTGATTAGTATGTGCTATTTTCAGAAGTGACAGATGTGAAATGACAGGTGTTGTTGCGGTCAGTCATTCACTCTGTCTGTGACACAATACTGAGTGTGTGCTTGTTTCATGTGTCAGTCTAAGTTCTGTCTCTTCTCACAAGTTCTGCTCACCAAACCACTAATTGTGCTTCAGTTTTAATAGAGTTCCCTGCTTGTAAACACTAAAAAAACTTTAAAGGGACACAATGTTTATTTCCATTAATACACTCTGTCAGTCCAATTCAAAAGTGTCCTGTGTTACTGTGTTAAGGAGACAGTCGATATGTGCAGGGTACAGCATGGACAGGACAAAGGGTGTGTATGTGCCCAAAAACGGTAAGTGTTTCAGTATCAGTGTTAGCAATCAAGTTTGTGTGTGTGTGTGTATACTCACATATAGCGCAGGTGTGGGTTCTTGGAGAAAACGCGAGCCTGGATCGTATGTAGGTTGCTCCTCATAATGGTTCTACCACACACACACACACACACACACACACACACACACACACCAGGTTTTATTTTATTCTCTGCCGATAAAAAATAAAATGCACTTTGAATAACTTTCAGCTCTGTTACTCTGA